AACTGATTAGTGACTTTGAAGACTTGGCTCAAACTGATAATTTGCTTGTGTTGAAGCCTCTCTTTTTTCACACAGGCTTCGTTTAAAGACAATGTACTGCCAATCGAGTGCTAAGATTCATATTTTCTAGAAAAATTATGACTGCATATTGCTGGTGTCAAAAATCATAAGGACAACAAAAACTATATTACTCTGAAAACTGTAGGGCTGTCATGATGACCATGGCAATAATCAGAGCCAACGGCTTTGATTTTCCGGCAGTGGATGCCAATGTTTGGAAGAAAATAAAAAGATGAACACACGTTTATTCTAATTTTGCGGAAAGAGGCGATGAAATTTCATCTACCACGCTATCTGATAGAAAGCGTGACATTTGCAGTTGTTTGAACATGTTGAAGGCAAAATAAAAAGAATAAAGCTTGAGAGAAGTTGCATGGTTTTAAATAAGCATATAAGGCAAAATACGAATGTTATCCGGGATGTCATAAGTCATATTGCATCATTATTCGAGTCAGCCTTCACCTCGTTGGTATCAATGTGAAGCAGCTGGCTCCACATGGCCTAGACCCGCACTCAGGAAAGACTGTCAGGAAAGACAAGCTCTTTCATTCATCTATCTATTTCAATGCTGGGAGGCAGAAGAGAAACACGGGTCATATTGCTATGATTGAAGAAAAATTATTAATGCATTTCATATAAATGAAATAAAAGTTGGAGCTTTTGGCTCGTGATATACAGAACATACATGGGAGCTTGCTGGTTTATGCCATCGTAATAAGTAGAGAACAAGTATGACTACAAGTCGCTTAGAGAACTAAGATCTCCCCAAATTTAAGTCATGCTGTAGTCGCTTCCTTCGGTATAATTTAACTAGCTAGTAAAGGGATTTCAGGAGCGGGAAGGGAATCCCTGAAAGGCTGCTCTATTGGCAAATTTTTCAGTTTGTTATGATGTGGTTGACAATGCATCGAGGCAGCAGACTTCAAGTACAAAATAATATAAAGGGGTGCACTAATAGACAGTGTGACAAGTTAATGTTAATATTTTTACTATGTATAGATATCAAACAAACTGAAAAAAAGAATTAAATATCAAGTCAAAATATGTTGAAAAATTTTTGTTGATTCTGAATTTGGCAGTGGGAATCTTTGAGCAAACGAACACTTACAGCGCATCAAGGGGAAGAAAGGCCGTGAGACACGGTAGAACTGAATACTTGTGGAGGGATATGAAGGATTTGCATGGATTCTGAAATAATCTCTTGCAATGTATGGAGCTGTCCATCTTGATCCAACACAAAACTATAACAGGAATTATGACTAGGATCTGTTTGTTTGAGTGGCATTTCAAACTTATTCAACCCACGAACTTTCCCATGTTTGTGTATTAACTGAGACCGTGTGACATGGTGTCAACCTTTTTAGTTTCTGGACGCTCTCATCTTGCAAAAATGTCTGGTTCCCTTATATAACAGCCATAACGAAAGTACTTATGTTTTAAAAATCATATATTTGAGTATATCCTTTATGCAAATTTATGCAAATATCGAGTAAATTCGACGAGATTGAAACTGGTGGGTCTGTTCCAGCTATGTTAAATCCAGTTGTGGTGTGTCTATATGTAAATACCAGTCTCCCAGTTTCCAATTGTGTACTATAATTACAAGACATCAAAACAACAAAATTTGAAACGAAGTTAAGTAATATGCAATCTGCTGCATAAACGAAGCATTTGAATGATGCAGAAAGTTTATATTCGCTGGGTTTAATATCTTCATTATCATTTTTTCATAATGGTATTTCCTTGCATGGAAGCTTTTATAAACCTCTACAAAAGACAAGCTTTTTGGTGAAATAAAGGAGTGGCTAGAATCTTGAATAACAGGTAAATGATAGCGTATAAGGCATCATATTGAAATGGTTCTGCTTTCTTCAACGTGATTCGTCCTTGTATGTAATAAGCACAATGCACACATGCTGTACGATATGTTGATAACAAAAATCAAATGTTTGTAAATGTGTATTCAGATGAGAGCCATGTTTCATAGTTTGTTAGTAAGTTATAACATTTTTGCTATTGTCTTAGGAAAGATGCTCTTTGGTTGAGTTGCTTAACTTTTTTTGGAAAGCAACGGGTACTGAGTTTCGCTAGTCCGCCTTACCAGAACATGTTTAGAATAATTGCTATCACTTTGAAATAACTTGGCAGTATCAACTGCATCTAGGGGGATCCTTAAGACTGAAGGTTATTTAGAATGTTCAACAATAGCCAACCTAAATAAGATAATATATATCTCTGGATTTCTCTGCCACAGATTTCATGTTTATTTTCTTGGAATCTCGACATAGAGCTGCATTTGATTTTTAGTCTTCACAGCAAAAATCGTGAGATACCCCCTGAAAGTGTAGGTATATAAAAGGATAGAGATCAAAATATTTGACACTTAATGCCTTTTTATGTCATAAATCAAAATTTCAATTATGAAGAGATAGTATCAGTTTATTTTACTTGAAATTTCTGCATTTAAATTCTAGTGCGTAACTGACCTGCTTTCATTTTAAAAGGGGTTGATATTTTCAAAGATTGAAAGATTGCATAAGACACTAAATTCTTAAACCATAAAGAAACTTATCTCTTGATCAAGATAACGCACCCAACCTTTTGAATAAAACCTCTTAGCTTTTGAAATGTTTTTGTTGCAATTTTTGAGCTACACGAAATCAATAGGATTAAACGTTTTTATTCATCCTTAGATCCCAGATCTGTTTTTTAAATACACAAGTTTGAAGCATACATCGCATCAATAATTTAAAGCTAATGTTTTAAACAGATTTTTTCAAAATGGTATTGTGGTTAAGCTACTTCAGGGCGAATAATGTCTTAAAGCTCAAGTTGAAAGACCTCCTTATACAATTCATATCTCTAAAAAACAAACATTAATACAATGCCAACATCTAAAAAGGGCATTGCTACTGACTCACATTCACATGCTCGCCTCTTAAGCTGTAAATCAGTTTTTTGTTATTTAACATCATGCCATTGCATCATCAAAGGTATTAACTCAACTCGGAACATCTTTGTCATTTTTGTTTTGTAACGAGATACCATGAGTCACTTCAAATATAAACCTCACTTTTTAATTTCTGATTTTTGAAAATTTTAAATGATGTCAAGCATAAACAACTTTGAAACTAAAAAACCTGTCAGTGCATGATTTCCATAATTTTGATATAAGAAAGATTCCTGATACTGTAGGATAAGTGACCACGTTTTCTTAATTGGATCAATAGCTTAATGCGACATAATTGTCATAAAAAGTTACTTAAAATATGCTCAGATGTTATTTTCATTTAGGCTACATTATTTTTATTGAATATCTATCTTTATACAAAGGCAATGCTACAATGGACTTCAAAGCCCCTGTCTTGTCAAAAATAAAGACGCCCTAACAGATTTTCACAACCCATGTGCTTTATCCTATTCGTAAAGTTAGGAGACACTTGATCCCAGCCTATAACTGAACTACATGCTGTGGTATAGCTGTAACAAGAACTTTTCATGTCATATTGTTGGGGTTTCTCTCCATAAATAACTCTGACCGATGTAAGGTTTTATTTTATCTCCGTTTTCATCTATATCACCTAAAAGTATCAGATAATGGTACTTGCCAACAATTGAATATTAAAGGTGTATATTAATGTCTATTATCTATTAATATCTATTAATGCAATCCCATAATATGTTTATTTAGTATCCTTAATAGTTAACGTTAAAATTTAGTCAGGCCTTCCAAGGTGGTGTGTATCAAGAGCAAAAGTAAATAACAAGAATGCTTTCATACCAGATTCTACTCAGTAGATTGCACTAGCATGCTTGAAATTAATGTTTTATCACCTTCTCTAATTGAAGGATCGTGCTTTTGAATAACTGTATGTATAGGGACTTGACAAAATTTTGGTGTTCAAGGAGTCAGTCAGTGAAAATAAGATCTCAGTTCCTTTCAATAAAAAACTAGGACCTTTTACACACGTTTTCATGGAAAAATGTAATTAGATTTCTTACGCCCTACAATTGGTCAATGGCAGAAGTTTCTTCAGATAAGAAGATCACTGCTTCCTTGAACCCGCTAGAAATTCCTTTTTATAAAAACCGTTCCTGAATAGTAAGCTTTTCTTACTTGAGTGGCCTCTGTGCAGAATATACGGTGAGAGGGAGGGAAGAAATATGAATTTTACACACTTTTTCGCTTTTCTCTCTTTTCCGTATCAAGTGCTTCAGAATTGCACCAACCCTGTCTTTGGATTTTGAATCCAAGTAACATGATTTAAGGTGCAAATGCTAGGGAAACGTTTCCAACCAGTTAAGATTATCAAAGCACCAGCATGATTTGTATAATTCATAATCAGAACAAAGCTATCAACAATAGAATAACTAGATAAGGAAACCAATCATTCCCCCCGTCGTTATTAAACATCGCCCCCGAACCCCTCATCACTATGTAAATTCTGAGCGTTTCATAAGAATCAAACAACTTAATCCCAGTCCACAGTAGCTGTGTTTAAGAAAATTCTGTATGTTTTTGGTCGAATTTATCAGCGATTACGTAGTTCTCACGTCTGTTTTCACAAGGCATTGCTTGCCAATCGATTGGATCAGGCACATTTCGGAGGGCAAAGAGTATATCCCACTAAGAAGGTCTCTAAATCAAAGTGAATAGAACATGTTACTCTGGACATGTAGAATAAATCAGCTGGGTTTACAGGATAAAAGTTGGATGATATGGGCTTTATGTGTCTTTCCTTGAGATTTCTACGCATTAGCAGACGTGAAAGGTTGCCGATGATTTTCAAAAGGAGAAGATTTTTGTGAACTCGCAGACGAAATGCTGCGAGGCCTTACGGATGTCTGGCGATGGCTTTTAAGATCGCTGTCATTTTTTGTGGTTTTGTATTGCTAATGTTGTATTATATGCTTTTTGTTCTGAAGTTGATCCTCCTTACCTTCTGTAATCACCTCTGCAGAAAAGTTTGTTTTCCTTACTGTAACAAGAGTCGGTCAAAGGACAGCGACAAACACAACATTCGAGGCAGCTTTCATGCCAATACACATCGTTAACGCAAAATAGAAAGCGATCGTCAATCGGTTGATCACAGCTTGTGCAGAGTCGAGCCTGGTGAGACTTCATCTCGCTCTCGTGAAAACTGCCTAGAAAACAACAAGGCAACTTTGAAGAATAATAAAACACTCAGGCATGATACACTTGTATACCAACACGGTGTCTCGCTTGGGTTTATTTAACCGTCTGGTGAAGAGAAAGTTATTTATAATTTACGAAAAGAGGCTAAAAACTCTTCACCGGACATAATGATAATGATAAAAGATAATTTAGTATCTACTTGTAGGTCATGCAAGAAAATTGTTTCAAAATTGCATAGTTCTGCAAGAGAATACAAATAACTTTATTTCTGTATCCACAAATAACTTTATTTCTGTACCAATTTCGCAATACCCTCATCTTACTGAAGTACTCATATTTTACCGGGTAATATGACTACGATACATGCTGAATTGGGCATCATTTATCACATTTCACCCAATTTTGGACAAATGTTTAGCTCGGTAACCATCAGGACATTTTCGTACAATATTTTTTGGAATAATTAGAAATTTTCTTTTACGACAAAAGCAAAAAATTATTAGAGCAGTTTACCCCGAACTAATGTTGCATTCAAACAAGTCTGATACGCCTGTTAAAAAAGTAGCAGGAATAAAGATGTAAAAATTTAAGTCAATGCTGTACTTTATACTCAAGGAACACAGTTAAGGAGAAATATTTAAAACAAGCGATGTACATTTTGAAGATTTTAAAAGATAACGTTTTAGCAGACAAATATCTCCCACTACAGATAACAGAGAAACGCATGCTTTTGCTGTGTTTTTAAAAAGATGTAATCTTGAAAAAACAAAACCACTTGTGTTTTAATCGCAACAACAAAAAACAGACAAAAACTTTGGAAACTATTTGTCTCGGCACACTTTAAAACCCGTTAATTTCTACAGACAAATGTTTGCGTATATCATTGTACAAACAGACTGCGAATGGCTTGAAAAGCAAAGCAAACAAGAGCAGACAGATGCAAAGTAGTGTAAAACAGCGAGTTGCAAACAAAGAAATATTTTCATAGACTTGCGTATTTATTTTATAGTCATCACAAACATGGCCATATTGCTGGTGCTATCTCTTTTCATAATGCCTTGCAGAATTTTTCTGTTGATTTCAAACTTTGTGGCGCGTGAGAATTTTTTCAGCAACCAACCTGTCATCTCATGATCATTGAGTACTGACTTGAAAAGGGTTTTTCAAAGAAGTCGGTCGACAAGTACTTCTATCTCAGTGAACTTATTTTTTGTCATAAAATTAGTTTATAAACACGTAACAAGTAATATTCATATCACAAGCAAATTGCACTTTTGCTCGGAGCTCTAGAAATAACAACTATAATGAAACACAAGTTTTACAAAATGTTTTCAAAAGTTCACCGTGCAGCAAATTTTGCTGAAACTGGAAGGGCTCATCATTCCACGATGTTTTTTTGTAACGAAGAGTTCTCTTGCTTGTCGCAAAAGGGTTGTAAAAAATCAGCTATATACTGGTGTTTCAGAAGGCTAGATACAGTGGCTTGATACAGTGGCTTGATACAGTGTCTACGGGCGGGAACAATTACACTAATAATTGGATTACCTACAAGTAACTGGTTGCCAATGTTAAACTGGGGCGCGTAACCTGCCATTTGTGTACAGCTATTAAAGGGCATTTGGTCAGAGCAAGATTTTGCCAAACTTATATCGGCGTCTTCACGATACTAAACAGCACTGCTTTAGTGAATGTAGAAGACGATACGCTCTTCTCACTAAGGAAGAATACCTGATCACAGGGCATTTGTATGTCATTGCAAATGAAGCTCGTGCTGTTACTCAGTGCTTTTGAACAACGAATCAACTCAAACTGGGCGAAAATGAGAATTACTTCCTTCCTACATTGAACAAGTTATGCTTGTCAATGATGGAAGAAACACAAGTGCCTGACAAAATTCGATGCGGTATTTGGCAGTACATTTAGAGCTACCTTCTTTAGTATTCCCATTCTCAGTAAAGTCATTTGCTAAAATTATATGCTTAATATGAGATTGTTTCTTGTTTCTTGCTGATGCAAGATAAAAGCATGGTAGATATATGTATAAAACAATGAAGAGAGCTAATGCAGCAAAAATTAGAAATTCTCAGCAGCAACAAAACATAGATATTTGACGATGGAATATGATGACCCTAATTTCATTTTAAGCTCGTTGTTATTGACTGTTTCTATATAATGCTACTACATGAATGAAATAATTGACAAAATGACACAGAAAGAAGTAAACTGCACGAATGTAGACTAGAAGAACGTGACATTTTGCCTCGTTAACTTAAACTGTTTTTTTAAAGAAACAAGATCAGTCGTGCATCTTATTACCATGATACATCTATATCAAATCCAGACATACAGATGTATAACAGCCATCACATTTTCTAGCAAAATAAATTTGTCTTAAAGACACTTAGTTTCACGAGATACACCATAACAATTTTTTGTATAGACAAGACCTTGAGAATGATAACTGTCAGCGATGAAAGAATCGTTCATGTTTTACAATACATGCCTTGATTGAAACGATTTGAAATTCTTGCGAGGTTGTCAAGAATAATTAAGCTGCTTGTTGCAAAAATATTAAGGCGTTGTGGCCAGCCAGAAAGCATATTTAAAGAATATTCGATATTTCGCTTTCTTGAATCACGTCTTTTTAAGTATCCATTGTTCAGATTTGGTAAAGGAAGCTTCGTATCTTTGAGAAAGTTAATATGTTTACATGGGTATCGTTTACTGCGTATGTATATTTACCGCATATAAGTCTGCTCGAACCGGTGCTAAGTTTCAAGTGATTTGCCTCGTTGAATACTCTACAAATTCTAACATGAGTATCCTAGCATGAGTGAAGGGTGCTACCCATTCACTCTGTGTGTGCTGCTCATAAACATTGTTCACTGAAAATTCAAAAAAATCGACAGAAAATAAAGCTGTTGTTTAATTACCTTCTGATTGTGTGCTTTTTTTGACTTCTATTTTCAAATCCATCGTACTATAAACATAACTATTATTAGTGCAGCTTTGAATTCTTTCCCAACCAGCACTTAACAGTTGAGCTTGGCGTAAGACCTTGAGATCCAACCGTTTTATAACCTGATATCGTCGTCTGGCAGTATGATATCGCCACAGACCACTTACATCGGAAACCAATCGTCAATTCGTTGCCCCTCAAGCATCCTTTAGTACGGCACTATATTCATGTCATCCCACCATTTATCTAACTTTTACTTACCGTACCTTAAGTGCAACTAAAAGTCTACGCGTGAGCTACAAGTGTGTGTATACAATAAGTTCTTAGTGATATTGTTCCCGGCATAAAATGGTCTAGCGGCCTCTCTTTCGTGAGGATATGCGGGTGGTATGCAAACTATACGGTCTTTCACAAAAGAACCCAGCCTATTGTCTTGCGGACAAGGCGAACAGTTTAGAAAAAGAAGATTAGTAGAATTTTAACAATCGCTAAACAACAACTAATGCAGAAATTATTTTATCAGCATTTCTAGGCTTAAAAATCGTTGCTATCGGTAAAATCTTGGAATGCTAAGTGTTTGCAGGAAATCTACCAAACTCAAAAGTAGAAGAAACTACTAACTGGAAAATGCTGGTAGATTCTCTTTGATTGTGAATTCGTATGAATGTGTATCATTGTCTTAGCTGCTCACGAATCGTGGCTCTGGAGAATGTTGGATGATTTAGGAACAAATTTTACTACCATTGAATGCCTGGTAACTACGCAAATATTGCCCCTGCGAAATATATCCAATGAATATCTTGTAAATCTTTAGAAAACTAGGATTCGAAACGGAGAAGTAAATTGGCGACTGCACCCAAATAGGAAGATGAAGGCTGAGGTTAGACCAAGGCAAATGATTTCCTTCAATTTGATTATCAGACATGTCAAAGGATTTCTGTTAAGTCTTAGAGATGAAGTAATAACTTTGGCGCAAAACCTCCTTTCGGATTACATTTTAGTGAGACGATTTACGTCAAATTATCAACACTTTATTTGTATATTACCAACTGTTTTTTAATCAAGCAGAATTTGATAACAAATGTAAGCAAAAACCAAATACAAGGTAAATATGTAATAAAATATTCAAATCAAATCAAAAAAGTCTTGTGCAAGATGACGAATAAGACAAAATTTTAATAATTTTCTTTTAAATTGACCTTGTATTGGATTTGGTCAGCTTTCGACTAATTTAGTAAGTAAATTACCCGGAAGATTTGAATAATGTTGCGTTAACTCTCGAAAACTTATATCTTAAGCGAACAGCATTTGAACACTAAGGATGAAACTCTTTCCTGCACGACTTGAAAATATTCAGAAGTGCATGAAAGTTCCAGATAATGTATTAAGTATTAAGTGTCATGTATGAAATTTGCAGTTATGTCAGTTGAACTGCAGTTAAGTCAGTTCAGTTCATTATCAAAGCAGAGTTCATTCTCATGTTTCTGTTCATTTTTTGAATAGCACTACCTATTGCCAACTACAACTAAACAAAGTACAGTAAATATATAAAGATATAAAAGGTATTACAATATAAAATAAAACAAATCAAGTAGGTAGTAAAATTCTTAAAAGAGGAGCTCTCTCAGTAGCTGAGCTAACAGAGGAGAGAATCCCCCCCACCCCCACCCCTAAACTGAAGTGCTGTGGTATATTTAAAAAAGGCAAATTTCACGATGAAAAAGAAAACTTTTGGCTGATAGAATTTTGAAAATGCATAAATTCAAACTGTTGCAGTTAGGTGTGGAGATCTACAAAGGCCTTTACAGAAAGTCAAATAGGCAGGAGATTTCTAAGGTGAACTGCATAGGAACAGTAGCTTCCCAGATTGGCGGCCCGTGGAGGGCTGAATCCTTTATAGGAGGGAAATAACAATTTTTTGGTGGTTTCGTGTACAGTAACTTTCTCTCGTGCTCTAATCTTTGATAGCAGTAGCAAAATTCTAGCTACTACGTATTTTAATTTATAATGCCTTTTTATCTCTAAAGGTATTCAACATTTCCACTTGGAATTTTCCTTCAATGCTTTAGTATGTGAATAATTATCGCAGAAAAAGCGATACAAAAAAACAGTGGTGAAGATTCGCAATGTTTTATTCAAGCACACTCTATAGAAAACATTCAAATCACTGGTCGTTTAGAAAAATTAAGCGTGAATATTGCTATTTTGTTTTTTGGTCAAGTCAGTGAGTGTGAACAGAAGAGCATCCCTTACAAATAGACTACAGAACACTTGATTGCAATATTTTGGTCTTGATGATGATTATTAACGCAAAGATGATATGGTTTTTTGACCAGATTTCTAAAGAAGATGGATACTTCACTTTGAAGGGAAGATGGAAGGTGCCTTAAGTTTGATCCCATAATCTAGGCCCCATAATCTAGGCCCCATAATCTAGGCCCCATAATCTAGGCCCCATGATCTACTGAAACCTTCGAAATGATTCTAATTCTGTATGATAGAGAAAATTCTCAATGACTTAAGAGAGATATTCCTTACTGTTAATGTACAGAAATTAAGCACGTTTTCATAAAGAGTGTTTTTCATCTGGCAGTGTCTTGAACTTTAAAGAGGATGGGGCCATTGTCAATTATAAAGAATTTATTTAAATATACAACTTTCCCTTATTTGCTGCAAACCTTTCTTGGGCTCAGTCCTTATATTTTCAACATTTGCTTACCTTGTGGAGATAAACAGTTTTGAAACACTTGTTGTAGTTTTGGACATCGTCCCTTTTTACCCCTTTCCCCAGCTTTCTATATTTGGTCCAGACAAAGATAACCTTAAGATATGAAAAGGTATTGCTGCCTTCACGAATGATCACACACACACTTTATAGTCCAAAGGGCACATTTTATAGAGCAAGAGGGTTGCCATTAATATGTTGATTATTTTTTTGCTGCTTATGATAATGTGTGACAGCATTGATGAAAAGCTGTTCGCTAATATTTGGTGTGAAGTTTGACAGTTTTTTAGAAAAGTCCTTCAACTGATTGGGAAAAATGAAATGATTGGTTGGAAAATTAGAATAACGTATTGGGAGGGCATTTACCATTTTGCATGGTAGCCTAAGAACGCTCGGGATAATGTCTCGTCTGTGATTATGGTTAGAAACGAGAACAATGAACACACCAAATTCACTAGGCAGTGCTTAAGCTGCTGCTTGGATATATAGAAGTTCGTGGCAACACCAAGTGTCAATGAAGTTTGGTCATCACTCTGGCGGTTTGGTACTTCAAATCCAAGAACAAACACTGTGATCCGTGCATTATACCATATTTGCATATTGTTACTTCTTGACTCAAAAGCCTTGGTCATGGGGATGTATGAGTTTGTACAATGGGTCAGACGAACAATAGAAATTTCTGTTGCGAATGCGATCGAGACAATGCCTTATGAGGTATTTGAACATATACAAAGGTCTATACTCAAAGAGGCATACTTGTTGCTATGGAGATGAACAGGGAAGCTCAATATTCAAACAGGTAATTTTCGAGGTCATAGTTGTACACAACACAGATTCGATGATGTTCATTGTACTTTGTTGCTCTAAACAATCTGTCATGCAAACAAAAATCGTGCCACAATGAACAGGTACCACAACTGGGTCTTGGGGAGTATACTGGCACGCATTGCTACATTGTTTGAAAAGGGGAGCAAGTGGCAATAACCTTAAGTACTAAGCAGCCCTGTTGCCAAGTACCTCCTATTCACATGCAGCTTTAGAGTTTCACCATTCTTGTTTCACGTTGACGTCGCGTTTACGAACATCTGTCAAACTTCTTGAAACCTATACAATGTAAATAAAGGGAGAAAAGCTCTCTCATACCATGTAATATTTACAATGATCAGAAAGGCCGCTTGGCCTTGAAAAGCACGTGTCTGTTTCACTGGGTTGGGCTCAACATGCCACCTGCAGGGTCTGTTTGCATGGCGGTGGATCTAAGAGAATCCCTAAAGGAGGCTGTTTGAACTGGCTCTTCGTATTTCGTTGCGTTTTAGGCCTTCAGAATTGAATTGTGAATCATTTCCGGACAAAGTGAACGAGGGAAAATGTCAAATTCTGTCAAATATTTACAGATAGATGACATATGGCTAGATATCAATGCCCCAGTAAAACGCTCCCGTTATTTGCTGCCAAATGCGATAATGGGCGCATAATGTCTTTGTACAACAATTAATCTCAACAAAGTACGTCTCGCAAATCTCTTTTACTCTTTCGACAGGGCTTTTGTTAGTGTGGCACAATGGTCGCCTTCTCCTCACAGCCTCTAGGGCAACAGCAACAACAACGTAACAGCAACCTGCCAGGAAAATCTTCAGATTTGAAAGTACGATTTGATACGTTAGATGATCGGAAAATTTAGAATACAATAATCGGCTTGAGAGTCACCATATTGTTCACCCTGAGAATGATATGATATAAAATGTTTTTGGAAACTTACGAATTAGGGAACTAGGGTGGGGTAGGGTACCATTTTTTAGTGCCCGATGAATATGGCGGAGACACCCTAACCTCGTCTATTTCCAATGTTCGAGTAAATCGTCCTGGGAAAAAGCGCTTATCTGCACTTGGTCTGCATTTTTGACATAAATGAATTTTACGTTACCTTCCCAATTGTTGATTATTTACGCATAGCCCATTTCAGTTTTATCCAGGTGCACGTGCCGCTTACGTATTCACAAACCACAGGAAGATGTGTCACAAAATAAACTTTTATGAAAGTTGCTATAGGAAATAATAGAAAATCCGAAAAAAATCAAAAGACTTGAGCACCCGAAGCAAAAAGTTAAGAAGCAATTTGATTTAGAATTAACTCCCAATTCTAAGCATCAAAATTCCTTCAATACGATTGGCTTGTTTGCAGAGAATAGAAAACTTGAGTCACAGAGAATAGAAATGTACTCCACGTATCTACGTACAGCATTAGCACAGAAGTGAATGTCTAACCAGAAATCTCAGGAGCATTTGAAAACGATAGAAACATTTCACACGGTAAGCAACTGCGTTGACCATTCCCAGCAAGTTTCTTCTGGAAAGTTTCCTAGCTGGAATATGTAAATTTAGAACCCCGAATGCTACTGTTAATGACGTAATAATCAAGAAACTCTTAAAAAATATAAATTTTACAAAGTGTTTAGATACTGGAGTACTCAAAGTCGACCTTTGTTTCTTATAAAAAATTGAAAATAATGGTATATGCCATAGCTTCTAAAATCATGAACATTAATCTTCCGCTTCTTTAATTCAATGCCATGCGGTTCATGACGTTTTCACTTAACAAGCCTTTGAAAAGATATTTTGTTAATGTAAAACGTGCTTCAGACCAAGCAAACTGGATTTGAGATATATTTCAATTGAAACAATGATAGGTTTAGCAATTCCTAAACTTATAGTTTTTGCAAATGATCTGTGTATTCTATAACCTCTTTTACGGCTAAATTTAATCAGTGGGCCATGTTTATAATCCGTCACTTTTGGTAGCATGGTCAGATGATCTTAGTTATTTCTTAGTTATTTTCCATGCATTCAAATCCCGCCTGTATCTTCCACAAATGTGAAACATATTAGAAGCGAGACAGGCCAAGCACTTTCTTGACATGCCGCATCGCTAGCGATTGTCACAGAGACATTGACAAAATTATTCCAAGCCTGATCAGGAATTTCCAACTCATTGGCGATCTTTTAGGCTTTAAACTACCCTCATCATCAACTAGTGTCAACCTAATTTATAGTCAAATTATCAAGATAACTTTAAAGAATATATTTGCTTTTCTGATTTCTTAATTTTTATTACATTAATTCTTTAATTCATATACGAATAAAAAGTCTCGCTTTATTTTAAGCAAACATAACTTCGAGCAATCTTTTAAATGATATTTCATTATACCCAACCCCTTTTTGTGTCTCTTCGATCAATTAGCAAACATTAATTCTTAGAGGACTTGCTAATCCTATTCTCTTGTTTTTCAAACCCTCAATTTTCGTCCATTCAGACATTAATTTTCTGAATTTTACTGACTCATAAGATCAAGTTAAAATGCCATAGCGAATCATATGATTTACAGTCATCGAGAGATTGAAGACAATTCAGGTTGTT